CCCTGTGGAACACCTGGCTGCAGGAAGGACGCCTGATGATGCTTCCTGCTTCAACACACAGAAGAGAGATTGTTTTCTAACCACCCAACAAATCAATCAGAGTCCAACACTTCTCAGAACACACACACATATTTACACAAAGTACTTGTGACAGTTTCATGAAACAATATTTGATATTTTATGTTGAAGCTGTCTGTGTTTAGATAACCCCTGCTCATCGTCAGGTCAGGTAGTCCAGTCTGTCAGGGAGGAAGAACCTGCTGAGGAATGTTTCTGCTCCACAACCACCCTCATAACAGCTGAAGACAAACTGGACTCTGCTGCAGCATTACCCCCCCCCCCCAACACCCACAGCATCAGCAGTAAATCTCACAGCAGCGTCTCCTCCATCAGCTCAGATTACCGTCCAGCACTAATTGATTGGAACAATAACAGAAGAAAGCTGTTAATGGTGAACATAATCGTCCCAGACAAAAGGCCCAACATGGCCGATCACACTCCGTCCACCAGGAGCGAGCAGAAGGAGACGTCTGGGCTGCCGCCAAGGAGATTTCACTTCAGATATCCGTCCACCCCCTGAATCATATTTCACTAGTGGGTCAGAGCGCTGGACGCAGAGAATCTCACACACGATGACGGCGAGGCCTCACGGCTGCTGGTGAGCGGACGATAGGTGGTCAGGAAGCAGGGAGCATGTTACAGCTCAAGCTAACTCTGCTTCAAAACACACAACGTTAAAGTCAGGAGGAGCCCAGGCTGCTGCTGAAAGCCTGGAGAAACTGCATGTGCATGGGCTCTTTTGTTTGTCTGTTAGCAAAATATCTCAAAAACCACACGTCGTGTTTAAACAAAACCCTCAGAAAGTGATCACTTGAAGTGAATCTTTGGGAATCAACCTGATTCAAAATGGAGGCCACAGCAAAATATGCTCAGCAAACACAAATATGTGTAGAACTCAGTCAGTGGTAGATATTGAGCTAACACAGTTGTTTTCCCGTCTCTCCCTCTTTCTAACGTTTCGTCTCTGCCGACGGCAGCCTGAGCTGATATCTGCCTTACAACCCTCACCACGAGAGGAGGAGGGTAACTACCCCCCACCCCCTCTGGCTCTGTCCCTGCCCTCCCTCCCCTCTCAGCATCCCCTGCTGCTGTTGTTGGGGTGGTCCCTGCCTCGCTGTCACCAAGCTGCTGGTCTTTCAGCTGTCCTGCGTTCCTCCAAACCCACTTTCTCTCTCTGTGTTTAAAAAAAAATTTTTTTTTATTTATTTAAACAGCTCTCTCAGGCGTCACAAGATTACTGAAGCAGTGCTGACATCTCCATCAGGCTGACCCAACACTCTGCCCTTTTCCTCTCCTCCTCCTCCTCCAGGATCCATCACGCTCTGCCATGAGCTGCTCGTTGTGCATAAAAGAAGCAGAAACAGAGAAGCGATAAGGAAAGAACACCGCACCGAGCGAGACAAACACCTTCCTTCCTCCAGCCCTTTAAAGCAATTTAGATAAGACTTTTTCTGGCTCAGAAAGATGTTTTCCAAGAAGCAATGTCTGCGCTTTAATTGGCTCAGGTGTGATTCCCCCCCCCCCCCCCCCCACCCCCCAGCCATAATTTGTTTAAATACCAGATCATTCTCAATGTGGTCTTTAAATCCAGCACATGCTCAGAGAAGCAGCAGCGAGCTGAAACTCAATTTGTTTCTTTTAACTTAAGTTGATAAAGTTAACTCTCAGATTTAGAGGTTACACCATGAAACTTTGTAAAATATATTTTATAATTTACTGGAAAAATGAGCTATAACTGACTGATCCTTTCATTATGTCTGTTATTCTGTTGTTAATGGCCCTACATTACACCGTCAAGTCAACTTTATTTATAGAGCACATTTAAAACTGAACCTGTTATCAAAGTGCTTAACAACAACAACAATCAATGAGTAAATTAAAGAGAAAAATATATAAACATATATATATACAATACACTAATAACTGAATAATTAATAAAAAGCATTTAAAACATAGGGTAACAGATTAAAAAAAACACTAGATCAATTTACACTGTATGAAATGCCTGAGAGGAGAGATGTGTTTTTAGCAGGGATTTGAATTGAGGAGTGGAGGTGGCCTGCCTGATGTTGGGGGGCAGGTTGTTCCAGAGTTTGAAACCCACAGAACAGATTTAATTAAGTAGTATGTCCATATTGACTCATTATGTACACATTTCAAGAATAAAACTTCACTCATTGTGTGATTGGTGATGATCTGTAGAGTTTAAGTTAGGTACACTCATTTAAACTGATGAACAAGAAGAAGTGATCATTAATCTACAAATAAACTGCATTTATCTTGTGTTTAATGCATGACCCCAGCATTACTTTGAGGCGGATGACATTTAACAAGATTTTTTAATTATAAAAGCTAATGTCCGACCATTACTGAAAAGAAGACACACAACACGATGTGTGCTCAGTGTCTTTGAGCTTCATTTCAAAACAAAGCTCTCAGAGTTTATGTTGAACAATCCAAAACACAAAGAAAGAAGAACAGCTCCCACACCTTTGTTTGCAACCCTTCCAATGGCTTTAACTGCATTAAACAGACAACCTGGTCATTTTGAAGCCTTCAATAGTTATCAATAGGTACTTTATCTGAAATCACATCAGTCACAGAGCTCACAGCATGGAGGAAATGAGCAGAAATCTTCATCCAGTCTAGGTTGTTTGGAAAAAAAAGGACCAGAAAGAGACTTCTTCCCTTTTTTCCATAATCAGTTCTCTGACTGACATCATGGCAGATAAGGTACAAGTTGTGGTGTCCCCCCCACGTCTCGCTCATGACCTGGAAAAGGAAAGCGGGTAAAGAAAATGAATGAGTGGATGGACATTCAGTGCATCAGGTTAAAATACTCTCAGTTTTCTTTAAATCCACTCGTCTTTAGAGAAACTACAGCTGATCGAGTGAAATGTTTGACGTTGCCTGCATTCACACCAGTGATAACTGCTGGACGTGTGCGTGTGGAGTGATGTGCACTGTTCTCTTCCTGACCATCAGCTGTATGGGGCTCTGGGATAAAAAACAAAAAGCTTTCATTTAATTGTTCCTGCTGGATTAGGGTTTATTCTAATTGCAGTGTCTTTTCACACGTTATATTGAATTTCCCCTCTGAATGATGTCTTTGGTGGCATTCACCCCCCGCCCGCCCCCCAGTGTTAGCTTTTGAGATTTGTGAGGGGAATGATCTTCATCTGCAAACACGCTGCTCTTCTTCTTGGTAGAAGTCCTCCATGGGCTGAGACAGAGACGTGTTATTAAACAACTTTGAACACAGTCACAGTCTGCAGGGGGGCCTGCGAGTGGAAAGATGCTGTCCATTAGCTGTCAACAACGACCAGCGGGTCCACCTTCCCTTGGGACTGCTACGCAAGGCATCGTCTTATCCCGAGCCTGGCTTAGAGATCACACAGGCGCCATTGTCTCAAACAGCCTGGAGTCTTTTTGTAGCCGTGCCTCTGGGAAAGGTCGAGTCTTCACGTCCGCGGCCTGTTAGAGAATGGGTTTTCTTCTGGCCAAGGCCATGAAAACTGTAAAGAGATGAATTTGGGGGAACACAGGGAGGCTACGGAGTACATTTAGAAATGGGGGCACTCCTCCTGAGACAAGTTGGGTCTCCTCTTCCAGACCTCCCTCTCCCTCTTCTAATGCTGACCTCCCTTCTCCACCTCTGTTTAATAAAGCCTGGGCCTTGGTCATTATTTTGGGCAGATGGAGATGGGGGCAGGCAGTGAAAGGAGTTGGTGTCACTCCTGAGGAGAGGATGGTAGGGATGACAGAGAAGAAAAAGCAAATCAGAAAAAAGATCAAAAGCAGAAGCTCGCCTTTCACTCGCCTGAAAGCGCTAAAGAGGATAAGGAACGATCAGGCCTGGGGTCTCCTGTCCTCACTGGCAATTAGACTCAGCTGATGGAGAGAAAGGCATGAATGGCAGGGTTCAAGGCCCTCTCTAGGACTCACACAACGGGAAGGAGTTTTTTCCCCGACGCCTCCTTTATCTTCCTCTCCTTTCAGAGTGTCAGAAATGCAGCTGAAATATCTCTCCAAAAAGACGGCACAATCCCCAATGCCAAACCTTAATCACGATGGCTGATGAGATTGGTGAAGGGAAAGGAGGGGGGTGTTTGAGAAAAAACACACACATTCTTTTCACAATTCATCTTTACACTTGTTTTTATAAGCCCAAGATTCAAGGGCAGGACGGTAGGCTTATATTTGCTAATTAAACCGAACAAATTATGGTTGAAATTTTTGTGACATGTTACAGTCTGGGTATAATGTTAAATGCCGTTGTTAATTTAAGACATCAAAATGTAAACTCAGATTAACATTGCACTAACAGATGGCCAAATCTTTAGGACTGTACAATAATTCAAGATGAAAGTATCAGAAACAAAACTTACCTGCTGTCTCTGATGGAGACAAAGCCATGTTGGGTTTTGTAAAACTGATTAATCTTTTTCATACAATTTAACATTCTTTTATAAGGACGCACAGTCACAGCAACATGTCCCACAGGAATCTATTACCATCTTCTACATATGCACGAGTTTCTTAGGCCTTCGATCATCCCCCCAAAGGGACATGATGCTTTTGATACAACTTTAACAGCGTTGCATGTCAGGCACACAAGGGATTTCCATTACACAGGTCATCAAAGAATATTATTAAAGTTCAACAAATAAAGGTTGTGAAGACAACATTTATAAACCAAAGGAAAATTAAACTAGTCATGGTTAGTACAGTTTAGGTGTGCTGGTTTATAAAATAGGCCAAAATGAACAGAGTAAATACTAAGATTATATTATGTTTAAAAAGTAGGTTTGTCTGTGGAGTCCACCCTGCAGAAGTTTGTTTTAGGCCTACTAATGTGGACCCCAACCCATAATCCTTTTGTAGACACACCTGAAGTGGAGAGTATAAAAACCCTGGACTGAAGAGAGGCAGACATCGAGCTTCGAGGAGTCTCTCCAGAGTTGCTCTCTACTGAAACTCTTCTGGTTCAACACGGACCCTGAAGATGGCTCCTTCAGCCAGCCTTCTGCTGCTGCTCCTGCTTGGCCTCTCTCGGGCTGTTCATCTGATGAAGGAAGAACAAAAGAAGGAAGGACGCAGACATGGACACCATGTTGGACACCTTCATGAGCATAAAGATTTGGCTGATGAGATACAACTTCATGAGCATAAAGACTTGGCTGATGATAAACACCTTCATGAGCATAAAGGCTTGGGGGATAATAAACACCTTCATGGGCATAAAGGATTGGCTGATGAGAGACAACTTCATGAGCATAAAGCCTTGGCTGATGATAAACACCTTCATGAGCATAAAGCCTTGGCGGATAATAAACATCTTCATGAGCATAAAGGTTTGGCTGATGAGAGACACTTTCATGAAAATAAAGAATTTGCGGATAATAAACACCTTCATGAGAATAAAGGTTTGGCTGACGAGAGACAACTTCATGAGCATAAAGATTTGGCTGATGAGAGACACCTTCATGAGCATAAAGACTTGGCTGACAAGAGACACCTTCATGAGAATAAAGACTTGGCTGAGGAAAGACACCTAAATGAGCATAAAGATTTGGCAGATTACGGACACTATCATAGTCACCATCATAGACACCATCATGATTGGGATGATGATAAGCACCTTCATGAGAAGAAAAATTTGGCTGATGAGAGACACCTTCATGAGCATAAAGATTTAGCTGATGAGAGAAACCTTCATGAGAATAAAGACTTTGCTGATAATAAACACCTTCATGAGCATAAAGATTTGGCGAATAATGGAGACCGTGATGGGGAAAAAGACTTGGCCTATTATGGAGACTATCATCGTCACCATCGTAGACACCATCATAGACACCATCATAGACACCATCAAGATTGGGATGATGATAAAAAACTTCATGAGAAGAAAGATTTGGCTGATGAGAGACAAATTCATGAGCATAAAGATTTGGCAGATAATGGTCACCGTGATGGGGAAAAAGATTTGGCCGATTATGGACAATATCATCGTCACCATCATAGACACGATCATGATTGGGATGATTATAAACACCTTCATGAGAAGAAAGATTTGGCTGATGAGGGACAACTTCATGAGCATAAAGGTTTGGCTGACGACAGACACCTTCATGAGAATAAATATTTGGCTGATGAGAGACACCTTCATGAGAAGAAAGATTTGACAGATAATGGGAAACGTGATG